TTAAAGCTTGGATAAAATATTTTTAAATTTGGTACGAATTTCAACAAAAAATTTAAAAGTCTGAATTAAATTTAGTGGGCAATAGGCAAAGATATCAAATAATCCGAAACTCAAAACCCTATATTATACATATAGATATATAAAAAATATTAATTATATACATAAATTATTAGCCATTACATTATATTAAGTAATTTAGATTATTAAATCATATTGAATATATAATTTATGTACAATTTGGACAATATATAATTTATTTATTTTGATATTATTAATGATTTCTAAAAAAATATAAATAGAATCTAATTTTTAATAAATTAATAATTTAGCTGTACACAAAAAGAATTAAAAAAAAACACTAAAATTTATGTATAATTTGGACAACTTAGAGCATCTCCAACGCAAGAGCCAAAAGGGAGAATTAGGCATTTTGCCTATTGAAGTCGGATTTTGAAGCTCCAACGCGCTCTGCATCTGAGGAGCATTTTGCCAATTCTCTTTTGGCTCTCCACAGGTAGCCAGCATCCATTGCTAGGCAAAGCACTCTTCCCGCCATTGTGTTGGCCTCCATCGCTGCTTGTTCCATCTCTGTTCCGCCCATTGATGATCACAGGTATGGCTCTCTTTCTCTTTCTCTTTTCCCACTTCCCTGTTCTTCCCCATCATCTATCTGCAAAGGAATACATTGATTTAGGGCAATCCATTTGCAAAAATTGGGTTTGTGTACTGAAATTGTGTCCCTTGTTCATGGAAAATTTAGTTTTTTTTTTTTTTTGTTTTTTTTAATTTTTTTTTTTTATGCTTCCTCAATCTTCGTTTGGTTAAAGTTACAGAGGTAGAAAAGACCGATCATAAATTAGGTTCTCAAAATATTATCATATTTAGGATTGTCTTTGTTCATGGAAACTTGATTTTATTCTTTTGTAGGACTTTTTTTATGTGTTTTTTTGTTTTTCACTTCTATTGTCTTTCCTTGGCAAATTTTTTGTTTTATGCTTCCTTGATCTTCGTTTGGTTAGGTGGATGAGGTAGATTTTCGAAATGCACTCAAGGTGTTCGAAGAAAAGACAGACTAGAACTTGGGATGCATGAGTTGAATTGTGAACCCATGTGATGCATGAGTTGAATTGTGAACGAAATTATTTCTTGAAAAAATTAAACACTTCTGCATATGAAGGTAAGAAATTAGTTTTAGTAGATTGTAAAATTTGGAATTATAAATTAATGAACAATTAGAACATTTTAATTTGTTAATGCATCATAATTTGTTAGTGCATCACATTTGTTAGTGCATCACATTTTAATTTTAGAACTGTGAATCAAATTTGAACTGTGAATCATAATTGTGAAACTAAGATACACAAAGGATTATCTAAACAAAGCTACAAGCATATCTAACCCATCCATTATCACATGACATTATTCTTGAACAGAGTTCACAAACTCAGAATCTGTCATTAAAAAATTTCAGCACAACTTGCAAGTAGAAATATATACCTATTAATACAGACGTTAAACCTCCAATAATCATCAATCAGTATTTCAAATACAAAATCACTTCATTCTTATGTATGGGATCTCATATATTATGTGGAAGTATTACTTAAAGTGTACTATGTCAAAAATGTTAAAACTATTCAAAACAGATTTCAGAGATTTCAAAGTGTATCAGTATAGATGTTTATATATATATATATATATATATATATCAATATAGATGCAAATACATTGGTGTGCTTCATAGGATAGCATGTTTGAAGAAATTATAGTTTGTCTATGTTTTATAATTGTGAATCAGATTAGTTCCCATGCATTAGGGAAATTTTAGATGCGATCAAATTACTTTCTATGCATTATGAATCAGATTTGTTCCATCCGTGAATCAGGAAACTTTTAAATTACTTTCAAAGATGTCCAATTATAAATTACTTTGTTCCATTGTGAATCAGATTTGTCCATTAATGTCCAATTATGTCCAATTTTAAATTACTTTCAAAGATGTTCAATTATGTCCATTATGAATCAAATTTGTTCCAATTTTAAATTACTTTGAAAGATGTTTATGTCCATTATGAATTAGATTTGTTCCAATTTTAAATTACTTTGTTCCAATTATGTCCACCATTCCCTAATTTATTATTTTTGGAATTAGGCCATGAATTGATACTTTTTTTTTTTCTTTTTGTGTGGTATGAACAATTGTGATTTAGATGGAATATCAAGGAAATGCGTATTTTAGCAACCTAATGAACGAGTTTGACGTTGACCATGATTTTACCACTGAATCTCCTCAACAAGAGAGTCAATCTTTATCATTCTTTCCTGAAATTATTACTCAAACTACAAAGATATCACAACACAAAGGGAATTTCACCGAAGAGGAAGACATGATGCTCATATCTTCATGGCTTAATATTAGCTTAGATCCAATTAGAGAAAATGAGCAAAAGTCAAAGGCATATTGGTTAAGAGTGTGGGAGAACTACAACATGTACAAAACCTTCGATTCTGAAAGAACTCAAACTTCTATGAACAATTGTGATTTAGATGGAATATCAAGGAAATGCGTATTTTGTGGATGTTTTGCTCAAGTTGAACGGTTAAATCGAAGTGGTTCGACTGAAAAAGACAAGGTATTACTATGATGCGAAAAAATTGTACAAAGACTTGTATCACTCGAACTTTCCCTTTGAGCATTGTTGGAATGAATTGAGATCCCAACCAAAGTGGATGGAAGATACAACAACAAAGAAGCAAAAAAGCACAAAAAATGCATCTCCGGCAACGTCAACCCCTTGTACACCTTATCATTCTCTCCTGAAATTATTACTCAAACTACAAAGATATCACAACGCAAAGGGAAATCATGCGATTGTACAAAGACTTGTATCACTCGAAATTTCCCTTTGAGCATTATTGGAATGAATTGAGATCTCAACCAAAGTGGATGGAAGATATAACAACAAAGAAGCAAAAAAGCACAAAAAAATGCATCTCCGGCAACGTTAACCCCTTGTACACCAGATTCAGTAAACTTAGAGAACAATGATAACTATGATGTTGTGGAAAGACCAATAGGAAGGAAGGCCGTAAAGAAAAACAAAGCTAAAGATCTTGGAAATAATGTTACAGAGTCGCCTTTTGTGAAGCTCTTAGAAGAGATAAAGGTAAAGAATGACATAACAAATGAGAAGAAAATAGAGATATTTGAGAAATCTTATCTTTAAGAGGAATGGAGGATTGAAAATCAGGAAAAAGGTAAAGAATGACATAACAAATGAGAAGAAAATAGAGATATTTGAGAAATCTTATCTTCAAGAGGAACGAAGGATTGAAAATGAGGAAAGGAGAAAGGAACGAAGGCTTGCATTGGAGGAAAAGAGAGAGGAAGAGAGAATCATGTCAATGGATACAAGTATTATACCTCAATTGCAGGCACAATATATTTGCCAACGTCAGATGCAAATCCTTAAAAAAAGGAATTAATTGTTTTTATTTAGCTTTGAAGCTATATTTTTATTTAATTTAAGTTTGACTAGATTTTATTTTTGGGATTGCTGGCACATCTATTTTTGATATTCAGAATTTTAGTGCTTTGACTTGGATTTAGAGTTGGGTTTGTTTCAAATTTTGCTGGTTGAAATATGAAATGGAGACAGTGCTTTGAAATGGAGACAGTGCTTTGAATTTTGCTAGTTTGAATTCTGGTTGGATTTTAGTGCTTTGACTTGGATTTAGTGCTATTTACATTTAGTGCTATTTATATTTTGCTCTTTAAACCACTCACTAAATCCTGGAATGAATTCTGCTGGTTTGAATTCTTGTCCATTCAAGTCCTGGTTTGAATTCTGCTGGTTTACATTTAGTGGTATTTATATTTTTGCTCTTTAAACCACTCAGTGCTTTGAATTTTGCTGGTTTGAATTCTTGTTGGATTTTAGTGCTTTGACTTGGATTTAGAGTTGGGTTTGTTTCAAATTTTGCTGGTTGAACTTTGAAATGGAGACAGTGCTTTGAAATGGAGACAGTGCTTTGAAATGGAGACAGTGCTTTGAAATGGAGACAGTGCTTTGAAATGGAGACAGTGCTTTGAAATGGAGACAGTGCTTTGAAATGGAGACAGTGCTTTGAAATGGAGACAGTGCTTTGAAATGGAGACAGTGCTTTGAAATGGAGACAGTGCTTTGAAATGGAGACAGTGCTTTGAAATGGAGACAGTGCTTTGAAATGGAGACAGTGCTTTGAAATGGAGACAGTGCTTTGAAATGGAGACAGTGCTTTGAAATGGAGACAGTGCTTTGAAATGGAGACAGTGCTTTGAAATGGAGACAGTGCTTTGAAATGGAGACAGTGCTTTGAAATGGAGACAGTGCTTTGAAATGGAGACAGTGCTTTGAAATGGAGACAGTGCTTTGAAATGGAGACAGTGCTTTGAAATGGAGATTGAAATATGAAATAGAGACAGTGCTTTGAATTTTGCTGGTTTGAATGCTTGTTGGATTTTAGTGCTTTGACTTGGATTTAGTGTTATTTACATTTAGTGCTATTTATATTTTGCTCTTTAAACCACTCACTAAATCCTGGAATGAATTCTGCTGGTTTGAATTCTTGTCCATTCAAGTCCTGGTTTGAATTCTGCTGGTTTACATTTAGTGGTATTTATAATTTTGCTCTTTAAACCACTCAGTGCTTTGAATCTGCTGGTTTACATTTAGTGGTATTTATATTTTTGCTTTTTAAACCACTCAATGCTTTGAATTTTGCTGGTTTCAAAATTAATGAGAGATGTAAAGAAAGATTAAGAATTCTCCATATTCTCCATATTAGGGATTTATTGATAGAAATAATTTATTCTAAGTATCACTAAAGATCATAGATTAAAAACAAATCACTAGTGATATATTATTGAAAGCACATAAAGTAGTACAAATATTTTTGAAAACACACTCATTAAAGCATATAAGCTAGTACATAAATCAATAAGAACCAACTAGTATTTCTCACAAAGAGTCTCCATGTAGTGTCCACAAGTGTTCAACCAAGTCCTGTTTGAGTTTGGAGTGAGTTCCTCTATCTCTGATGCGATGATGATTTTGAATGAATTCAAAAAGTTCTGGTGTACGCTCATGAGACATTGGTGGAAGACTTTCACTAATTGTATCATAATTAAAGTCTAATCCATTGGCATCCCTCTCATCTTCAACAATCATGTTATGCATTATTATGCATGCCATCATAATATCTTCCATTATTTCCGTTTTCCAAAAACGTGCAGGTCCTCGCACAATCGCGAAATGTGCTTGGAGCACACCAAATGCTCGCTCATCATCCTTTCTTGCCAATTCTTGAGCTTTTGCAAAATATATTTGCTTATTCCCTTGTGGAGATGAGATTGTTTTGACAAATGTTGCCCATTGCGGATATATACCATCGGCAAGATAGTATCCCATTGTATAATCATTTCCATTGATTGAGTAATTGACTGGAGGAGCACGACCTTGAGTAAGGAGTGAAAATACAGAAGAACGATCTAATACATTGATGTCGTTATGAGATCCGGGCATCCCAAAAAAGGCATGCCATATCCATAAATCTTGAGAAGCCACGGCCTCTAAAATAATAGTTGGTTCATGGATGTGACCAGAATACATACCTTTCCGTGCAGTATGACAATTTTTCCACTTCCAATGCATACAATCAATGCTCCCTAACATACCAGGAAACCCGCGATTGCTTCCCATCGCTAATAATCTTGAAATAGCATCGTTGTTAGGGCTCCTCAAGTACGTCTCAGAAAACATTGTAACCACCGCCTTAACAAAGTGTTTTAGACTCTCTATGGCGGTGCTTTCACCAATTCTCACATAATCATCCACCGAATCTGCTGCTACTCCATAAGCGAGCATCCTCATAGCAGCTGTCATTTTTTGAAGGGAAGACAAACCAATGATTCCAACAGCATCTGTTTTCTGGACAAAATATGGATCGTATGCTTCCACTGTAGATAGAATATGAAGAAAGAGAGATCGATTCATTCGGAATCTCCTCCTGAATAAATGGGCAGGATATATAGCTGTTTCTGAGAAGTAGTCTCGATAAAGTCTCTCATGGCCTTGAACTCGATCGCGATAAATAACTGCATGGCCTTCGATGGAACCACTACGTCTTCTCGAACATCTTTCTCTATTGAGTCGCTCTTCTTCCATTGCAACTATCGTTATTAACTGCAATTCATCATCACCGTTAAAGTCATTAAGAATCATTTTCATGGTATTGCGAGCCATGATAATTAAAAAATGAATGAAGTTGAGAAATATAGTTCAAATTGGCAAAAATGAAAGAGCAAATCTTTTTTATAAACAAAAATATATGACCGTTAGGAATATATCCGTTACATAATATTACCGTTAGAGAATATTATCGTTTAAAAATATGACCGTTGAGAGAATATTACCGTTTGAAAATATGACCGTTGAGAGAATATTACCATTTGAAAATATGACTGCTGAGATAATATGATTGTTTGAAAATATTTTTTTTATAAATAATTTAATTATATATATCAAATAAATAAATATTTGCAAATGCCACGTCAATATATGCAACATGTTATAAAAAGATTATTTATTTATTTATTTATTTATTAATGTTTATTATAGTTTTCTTTTAAAAATTGTTAAGTTAGTTTGATTGGTTAGTTAAAATAAAGAGTATGGTTGGAGTGTACACTAGCTAAACTAGTTAGACAAAATAAAGAAGGTAGTTTTTTGTGTACTTTGAAAAGGCATTTTAGAGAGCATGGTTGGAGATGCTCTTAGACAATTTAGATTTAACTCGAGTCGGATTTGAAGAGACAATCTCAAATTATAATTCAAACTTGCTCATAGCGTAATTTAAATTAAGTTTAAACAACCTTTCAATCTGTTCAAACTCGAGTTGCGGCCTAACTAATACAATAGTAAAGAACCTGGATGATGAACTGAATTCGTTAATCCATTCCACGCATGTGATACCCATCTTACCTCACCACACACTCTCCAAAACCCAACGGTGCACGTGCACCTACAAAACACGCTTTACTAGTCTCGCGATTGGCTAACTATGGGATGTTTGGAGAGTAAGACAGATCTTAAAATAGTTAATAAAAATAAAATAGATTAAAATAAAAGTGGTGTTATTAGTATTTCATGAATTATTTTGGATTTTCTATTTTTTTAGATCCCTACTTATAAATTTTGAAACCTTCAAAATTTCTTTTCTTTCCCTTCCTAAATAATACTAAAATTATCGTTGTAAAAACATTTCACCTATTGAATGCACACCCCTACACCACCTACACCCCCCAAAAAGCTTCTTCCAAAAAACCATAGCAAAATCCACCAAGAAGAAGAACTAATGTGATTACTGTCTCTGCTGTCTCATCCATCATTGTCACAGTTGATATGCTCTCTCTCTCTCTAGATATATATATACATAATTTTTTAGTTTTTTCGTAATAATTTCTTCTCTTACAGGAAAAAAATTATAATAATTGGTTTGATTGGTTTTGTTGGTAGATATTATAAAATTGTGAGTTCAATAGAGAACTACGTAATAATATTATCAAAGCTATGCGATGAAGAAATAATTCTTGAACCTGATAATGAATTTGGGCTACTTCTAATAATTTCTGCAAGTGTTAAAATTTTTGACCATTCATTGTGTTAAGAAATTTCTATGTTCGGACATGTATTGTAATAATCGGGCCTGTATTCCCAAACTTAAAAAATGAAAACTTTTGCAAGCGTTAACAATTTTGACCGTTCAATGTGTTAAGAAATTTCTATATTCGGACCTACATTCCTGAACATTACTTATTTGTTCGGGAATGCCATCTTGAACAAATAAGTAATGCTCGGGCCTGTATTCTGCCAAAGGATTGCATTGTTACTGCCGGAATATTGCCATTGCTGGAGAAGTGTAGGTAGTCAAATGGTTGTCACTGTTACCGTCGAAATATTACTGTTAAAATGTTTTTAAGATTTTGAGGGTGGGTAGGTTTTGATGGTGGAATTTGGAAAAGATGAATAGTTGGTGATGGAGGTGAGTGCTTTCATAAGCCATAATTCATGATGTAGTGGGTGTATAAGTTTAATTGTGAGATCGGATATCCCAAAATTAGTGATGTTCTTTTTAATAATTTAATTTGAGATTATTATTGTAATAAAAAAAATTTAAAATTAGGATTCTAAAATAATTTATGGATACTAATAGCAACACTCTAAAATAATTAATAAGATAAAATATCATATTTAAATTATAATTTTTTCTCATAATTATTAAATTAATTACTCCAAAAAAAAAAAAACTAACTAACTTTCCAAATACAATTCATTTAATTAGACTAAAATATCTAAAATAAAAAATAAAAAATACCGACTAAAATAGTAACTTTTCAAAGGAAGCCAATATTGCACGCGCTTCAAAGCGAATCTCGTTACTCCAAAAAAATTCTCTTCCCTCTCATTATCTTTCTTTGGTATTCAAAGCAAACCAACACTGCCTTCCTTCCGTCCTTCGCATATTCATTTCTTCAGTTCCTGGCGATCCCTTCTCTCTCTCTCTGTCTCTCTCGTGCATAGGAGTATAGTACATATATATGTACGTATATACTTAAATCGGTTTCATTGATAGTTCGATAGGTCTTCCAATGGCGGCGGTGGCACCAGTAGTGGACGCAGAGTACCTGAAGGAGATCGAAAAGGCTCGTCGAGACCTTCGAGCTATCATCTCCAGGGAGCACTGCGCACCTATCATGCTTCGCTTGGCGTAATCTTATTCTTCCTATTCAATCTTCTTCTTTTAATTATTATATATATATATATATAACCAGCCGTGCTATCCACGAGATAATTATAAATATTTATATTTGTTTAAATTTTTTTTAATATATAAATTATGTTTTTTAAGATTTTTTTATAAAATAATTTAACAATTTTATCACTATGGAGAAGTTGTAAAGGATAGTGTTACTACATACGAATTGTATTCATAATTATTTTACGAGGGATTTTAAATGCTGAAAGGGGATTTTGACAAATTAATAAATACATGCACTGATTGAAAAATTAATAAACCGCTAATAGGGGATTTTGACCAAATCAATAAATGCTGATTTTTTTTTTAATTAATAAAAAATTTAAAAAATCAGATTGAATATTAAAGCTCCCACACGCCTTGCGGTTAAAAACCCTTTTTACTTAATATATAGTATAGATAGATATGTATGTATAGCATACTCAATTTTGTTTTTGTTACTGCTTCTGGTTTTTTGGTGCTCTTAGGTCAGGTTTGTGAACAATTTTCATCATTCTAATATAACAGTGTACTCTGATTTGTTAATTTGCTAACTATCTAGTGGATTCCTTCCGTTTTGTACAACTCTCTTCTTGTGCCTTGAAAGGTTCAATGATTTTTTTAATTTGAAAAATCAATAATAAGGAACCAAATTTGGTGAAATGAAATATGATATACGTGACATGATTTCTGCTGCAATGTTCAGTAAATTTACGTGGCATATTATTATTTGCCATCTTTATTTTATTTATGCGTGTATGTTCTTTGAGACGTAATTAGACTTTTTTTTTTTAATGATTTAATTCTATCTGTTTTCCTTATTTGATGTGTGATGCTTAACTAATTGTGTCAAGTATCCAGATAATCCAAAATAAAACACAGATGGCATGATTAACATTTTACCGGTCTTGATTAATAGATAACAAAGGTTTCAATTAAAGACTTTGATTGAATTTGAAAGAAAAAAGAGAAAAAAAAATAAAAAGAACATATAAAACTAGAAATGAATTGACAATATGTACAATTTCAACATATGTATTGAGGGGACATATATTGTTCGATAGAGTAAGGTTGATATTTATATGACAATTAGATAATATGAGTTAGTTGCATCAAATTCATGCTAAGGCGAGTTTGATACTAATTTTGATTTGTTTATTTTTCATGTTATTGAGTGATGTTAGTTTTGGATTCATGTCAAGAACTAGTCAATTATTAGAGAAATATCTTGATCTTGTTCAGTTTATAGTCATTTTATGGTATTACAGATATATTTGGTAATTTCCTGTGTGTAAACATTGTAGCTCTAGTCACAAGACTGGCAACAACAATGCAACTATCTTGATTGAGTTAATAAAAAATTATCGATCCAGAGCATTTTGCTTATCTAATCTATTGACTACATTGTGCCATTGGTTTCAAATTGTTGTCTTTGATGCTTAGGTGCTTTGTGGACAGGCTAGATAACATTACTACTTTACAGGTGGCATGATGCAGCGGCACTTATGATGCTAAAGCAAAGACTGGAGGACCTAATGGCTCAATTAAGAATGAGAAAGAGTTAAATCATGACGCAAATAAGGGTCTGAAAATAGCAATCGACCTGTGTGGTGAGCTTGTCTGCTTGATTTGTGTGCATTAACCATTCTGACCTTTTTATTTCTGTGACACAAGTTCAATTCATTCTATTCCCAGTCCTCATACATATGTTTCACAAAATTTTGTGATCAGCCAATCATATTTTTCTTCATCTTGATTGCTTTAATATATCTTCACCTTATCATTTACATGACATTGTTGAATAAAGCATCTGTTGATATTCATAATTTTAAGACCTCAATACTCGATACTAATTTTCCAATTTATCTGTAAATTTTGCAAATATATCCATCATTGTATCCATATCTCTAACTTTTCTCTATATATCTTTTATTGTATTTTTTTCATTGCATAAGATTGCCACATTTCCCTAATGATTTGTATTCTATTACTGATGCAGAAACGGTGAATGGACTCGCATCCCAAAAATTACATATGCTGACCTTACAGGGTAATGACAGTTCAGTGAAGGCCTCTATAGTATTTTCCTTAACCTTCCTATAAAAACTTACGTTTTATCACTTTATATTAATCTGAAAATCTGGAGATAGGCTAGTTTTGGCTTTTTGACTAGTGTTGTTTTGCCAAACAATATCTTGCTATGGGAACTCCTAATTGCAGCACAACTTTATCCCCCTTTACATAATATGTATTAAGAGAGCTAAAGTTAAGTGTTTCATTGAGCTTGTCGTGGATGCTATGAGGATGAGTAATGTTCCATTGAATTATCGTGTTCTGTCGTCTGTGGTGGACTATGTCGAGATGCTGGCATAGTTAATGGTTTCCACACAAAAATAAATGAAGACAAATCTATTACTGAATAATAAGCAAGGTTAAAGCTATGCTGATT